CGTCGTCGTCGTGGTCGTCGTCGTGTGTCGTCGTCGTCGTCGTCGTCGTCGTCGTCGTCGTCGTCGTCGTCGTCGTCGTCGTCGTCGTCACGGCGTTGCGTTCTCCCCCTGTCGAATTTTCACTCCTTGCTGCTCGTCGTCGGTCGTCGTCGTCGGTCGTCCTCGTCGTCGTCGTGTCTTTGTCGCCGTCGTCGTCGTCCCAGCATTGAGTCCCCCTTCCTCGGGACGGTTGGCTATTCTTCGCATAGTGTCGACGCACGTGCCTACAGCTATCATGGGCCGCCCAAAGAGGTATTATTCTTCGCCCCAAACGGCATAACTCGCGAATCTGCGTTACGTGAGGGGCTGTGGTACTGACCGATGTCGACAGAAGGCCAGCTGAAGTTTGTGGAGGTACGGGAGGGGCGTTCATTGAGGAAAGCGCCAACGAGGCGTCAAACCCTGGAGGGCTCCATATCTGATGACTGCGGTGGTGCTATCCATGGCCAATCCAAGATTGGAGTTTCACCGGCTTCCAGATCCTGGATTCCTCATCCAAGTATTCCTTATCATTGTGGAAGTGGATTTATGGAGAGGAAGCATGCTGCCAAACAATCTCCAGATGTCTAAAAGATATTTAAACATGTTCGATATATCAAATAACATGTTCGAAGCATGTTTGCAACATGTTTTACACAAGTTAAACACATCTTTCATTCAATGATCGGATTGTTAGAGTGCCCATTGTCATGGCATCCACAACCTTATCAAATGCCATCGCCGTGGATGCGCGAACGAAGGCCATTGCCCACGCCTCCGAAGCTGGCCAGGCCAGCTTGGGAGGTCAGACGACCCCCTTCCCTCTGCGCTCCTCTTCCTTCCCTTCGATTGGCGGCGCGCGCAGGGGCGTGTCGATGGAGGCGGCCTTTTTTTTGAGAAGGCATGCCCAGACATGCGATGTAAACAATACGGGGCCCCCCGAAGCTTAGTGGGCCCTGGAAACGACAGGGCCGTTTTTTTACCGGTTCCGTCGCCGTTTTTAGACCGGTTCTGGCTCCGGTTCCAATCCTGTGGCCGTTTTTGTTGCCGTTTCCGGTCGCCGTTTTTTTGCCGCTTCCATTTTCAAGGGGCATTTTTGGGGGAAGCTGTGAAAAAACGGCCCTGCCGTTTCCGGGGCCCACAAAGCCCCGAAGCCCCGATCCGTTCCCCAGGGGCTAGTTTTCCCCCCGAGCCGTTTTCGACGGCCTCGCGGCCCAGCGAGGGCCACCGGAGGCCGAGAAAATGGCCGAGAGCCTTCCTCTTGAGCCCTCTCGAGCAGGGGCCGATCCTGTCTGAGAGGCTCTTCCTCCTCCTCCTCCTCCTCCTCCTCGTCCTCCTCCTCCTCCTCCTCCTCCTCCTCCTCCTCCTCCTCCTCGTTCTCCTCCACCCAGACATGCTTGCGTCGTGCAGAATTCAGCTCCCGAGGGGCCCTCGCACCGCCCCTGGGCGTCAAGCGACTCGGGAGGAGACCGCGGCCGCGAGGAGAGGGTCGGGGCTCACGGGGACCCCGCAGTGAAGGAATCAGGGCGTCGCAGGTCTGGGAGGGGGCTGAGTGCTCGCCCTCCCCTCGCCCCCGCGGGCGCCCTGCCTGCCCTAGCCTCCTCCCCCCCTCCTGCATGCCGGCCAGCCTCGCTTTGCAGTGCCCCCATGCACCGCTGCCGACGCTGGTGCGGGCTGCCCCCCGCCCCGCTGCCGACGGAGCAAGTTCTTTGTTCTCCTTCTCCTCCTCCTCCTCCTCCTCCTTCTCCTCCTCCTCGGAATCGCCTGCTGGCAGCTGGTTTTGGCTCCGCCGATGGGCGTCCTCCTCGATACGCCGGCGCCTCTGGCGCCGGGGGGGGCGCCGGAGCAGGGAGCTGCGCTGGCGGATTCGCCGACCCCCCTTTTGCTGCAGTGGAGGCCCATGCCAAGAAGCACCCTGCTTGCGTCCAGGGTGCCCTGGGATTCTGGGTTTTTTTATTACCGAAGGCGCGACGTTCCCACACCACAAATCGGTGGACTTCCTGGGGTCTCAGGGTTGGGTTTCTTGTGGAAGGTTTCTTGTGGTCGGACCCGTACTGTATCCCCCCTTTCGCCGCCCAACCTCTCAGGGGCTCATCCCGGCCAGTCTCGTGGAGCTGCACCCTGCTGTGGGGACGAGAGCCTCCAGCAAGGCCTCCGAGCCTGCAAGGCGACGACGTTCCCGTTCGGAGGTATTCTTTGTCATGCGCTTGGCTTGGCAAGCAGGCAAGCAGCTAACCCCGAGGTCAGGAGCTGCTTGGGCGGCGCCTCCCCCATCGCAGTGCGCTGCCCCCCTCCACTGTCAGAATCTGTTTCTCCTGCTCCGGCTTGACTCTCGGCTGGTAACCTGACACCGGATGCTCACCAGCCACCAAGCCGCCCCAACCCAACCCGAAGGCCCCAATGTGGCCTCCATTCCTGGTGGGTGGGGGGGGGGGGGTCGGGAAACCCTGAAAAACAGATGTGCGACTCGTGTTCCCCCTCCAGGCCGAGATGTGGGTCTTCGGGCTTAGGTTGGGGTGGCCTGGTGGGCAGTCAGACTGCGCGACCGTGCCAGACCCCCCAGCGCTCCCGAGGCGCGTCCCGTTCCTCGGCTTCCGCCCCCCGGTGAGGCCCGCCTTCGGGGCCCAGGGCCGCCAGCAAAATCTCCCCGAGACTTGGCGGCGAGCGGGGGGGGAAATGAGAAGGAGAAGACCTTTTCAGAAGGCCGCGGGGCTTCTCAGAAGCCCTCGCGCCTTCCAAGAGGTGTTTGCTGTGTCTTCGGGGAAGGCCCAGAAGACTTCTCCGAAGGCTGGGGCACTTCGGAGCATTCTGAGAAGGCCCGCCCTTTCTCACTTCCCCCCCGGGCGCCTCGCCTAGAGACGCGAACCCCCCCCCCCCTCCTAAAATGGATCGAGAGGTCTGGGGGGTGGCGCACTGACAGATCACCGCTTCGCTGGGGCCAGGTTTTCGCTTCCGTTTCTGATGGCCCGGGGTTCCGAGAACGGGCTTGGGAAGCCCCAGTCGAGGAAAAAGCCGCTTGTTGAAAAAGAGGCGGTTCAGACTCCGGCAAGGTCACTTGCGTGGAGGGACGGGGGGGGGGGCGTGGGCAGGCCCGAACGGAAATCTGGGCTTCACGCAAGTGTCGGGACTCACTCGCACGCCTTTTCGGCCCATCGCTTCTTTCAAAGGCAGCTTCGTAGTTCCGTCTTCAGAGTGCATTAGCGTGCGCTAGCGTGTGATCATCGACGAGGAAGCGCTGGACTAGCGTCGATTAGCGTCGATTCGAGTCGATTAGCGTCGGCCAGCGCAGGTTCGCAAGAGCGAGGCTCATGGCACGGGAGGCTCCGATGAGATGCCGCTGGGGAATGCCATGCAAGTGAATTTGCCATGGCCTGAGAGTAAGAACTCCCTCAAAATCGTAATTCGCGTCGGAGATCTGTCGGCGGCGTGCGAGGAGGCGGGGAAGTGGAAAGGAGGAGACCTTCTCAGAAGGCGGCGGGGCCTCTCAGAAACCTTCAAAGAATACGTAGAGTGTTCCGTAGAACTATGGAGCATTCTATGTCTTTTTCGCAAGGCATAAGCAAGTGTGGGGTACATCAACTCTGTAGTCGATCCCCTACTCGAGATCTGGGCCCGCGAGGAGCTGCAGGAAGCTCGCCAGGGACCTGGTGGTGATGGAGCCCGCGAGGCCCGCGGGGCCAGAGCGCGCGGCCCCAGAGGCCACGCCCGTCCAGGCGAAGGCCGGGCCTCTGCTGCTGATGCTGCTGCGGCCAGGCAGGGCCAGAAGGACGAGCAGCTTCCCTGGGTGCCTTCCCCGAGGAGGAGGTGGAGGAGGAGGAGGTGGACTGAAGACAGCCGCCTGAAAATCTGGAGCTGTGCCAGAACATTGTTCCTGGGACTTCGACGCCACGAGCCACTGCTACTGTTGCGTCTTGACGATCCTGAATCGTGCCAGGACACCATTCGTGGGACATCAACGCCGCGAATCAACGTGACCGTCGCGCCTGGACAGTCCGACATCGTGCTGGCACACCACTTCTGGGACGTTGGCCCCGAGAATCATCAAGCGTGTTAGAACTCTCGAGACACCTGTGCGCGGCGCTACAGTCGGGGCCCTGAGGAAGGAACCCTTTTCGTTGGGGAGGGGCTCGGTGTTCCTTAGTTGTTTTGCAGTTCGCCTTTGGTTTTGCTCAGGGTTTCGATGGGAAATCGAAGCTTAACTTATTGGGAAAAAGGGGCCTCGTTCCTTATTTAGGGTTCCTTGGGTCAACGCCCCGACCGTAAGGCAAGAGAGCCACATTTTTTGGAAAAAAACGCCCGCCCTCCATCCGCGGGGCCCTTTGCGAGCTTTGAGAGGATGAGTGCGCGCGGCGCTGAGGCGAGAGCCACATTTTTTTGAAAACGGCCCGCCCTCCATCAGGGAAGCTCAAGAGGGAAATTATCCCAGTGCGACCCTACCTAGGAGTTGGAACCCCCAGGAAAGCAGCATTAGTAGCAACAGTAACGCTAAGCTGAAGCTAAGCTAAAGCTAAGCTAAAGCTAAGCTAAAGCTAAGCCACAGCTAAGCTAAAGCTAAGCTAAAGCTAAGCTAAAGCTAAGCTAAAGTTGAGCTAAAGCTAAGCTAAAGCTAAGCTAAAGCTAAGCTAAAGCTAAGCTAAAGCTGAGCAACAGCTAAGCTAAAGCTAAGCTACAGCTTAGCTACATATAAGCTAAAGAAAAGCTAACGCTAAGCTAAAGCTAAGCTAAAGCTAAGCTAAAGCTAAACTAAAGCTAAGCTACAGCTAAGCTAAAGCTAAGCTAAAGCTAATCTACAGCTAAGCTCAAACTAAGCTAAAGCTAAAACTAAATCTAAACTAAAGCTAAGCTAAACGCTAAGCGAAAAGCTAAGCGAAACGCTAAGCTAAAGCTAAGCTACAGCTAAGCTAAAGCTAAGCTAAAGCTAAGCTAAAGCTAAAGCTAAAGCTAAAGCTAAAGCTCCCAGGGGACTGGGGGGAACCGCTCCCAGGGGACTGGGGGAACCGCCCGGGGCGCTTTGCACTGCCCGGCCCCTTTAAGCTAAGAGAGTAAGAACCCTTCTAGGCAGAGCCTAGGTAGGGAAACACACAGACACAATTAATCGACGACCCCCAGGAAAATATGGAAAAATATCGGAAGTGGGGGGGAAGACAAAAACCCAGGAAATATGCGAACACATTGAATATTTCCCTACCTAGGCTCTGCCTAGAAGGGTTCTTACTCTCTTAGCTTAAAGGGGCCGGGCAGTGCAAAGCGCCCCGGGCGGTTCCCCCAGTCCCCTGGGAGCGGTTCCCCCAGTCCCCTGGGAGCTTTAGCTTTAGCTTTAGCTTTAGCTTAGCTTTAGCTTAGCTTTAGCTTAGCTTTAGCTTAGCTTTAGCTTAGCTTTAGCTTAGCTTTAGCTTAGCTTTAGCTTAGCTTTAGCTTAGCTTTAGCTTTGCTGCAGCTTAGCTTTAGCTTAGCTTTAGCTAGCTTTAGCTTAGCTTTAGTTTAGCTTTAGCTTAGCTTTAGCTTAGCTTCAGCTTAGCGTTAGCTAAGCGTTAGCTTAGCTTTAGCTTAGCTTTAGCTTAGCTTCAGCTTAGTTTTAGCTTTAGCTTTAGCTTTAGCTTAGCTTTAGCTTAGCTTTAGCTTAGCTTTAGCTTAGCTTTAGCTTACCTGTAGCTCAGCTGTAGCTCAGCTGTAGCTCAGCTTTAGCTTTAGCTTAGCTTTAGCTTAGCTTTAGCTTAGCTGTAGCTTAGCTTTAGCTTAGATTTAGCTTAGCTTTAGCTTAGCTTTAGCTTAGCTTCAGCTTAGCTTCAGCTCAGCTGTAGCTTAGCTGTAGCTTAGCTTTAGCTTAGCTTTACTGTTACTACTAATGCTGCTTTCCTAGGGGCTCCAACTCCTAGGTAGGGTCGCACTGGGATAATTTTGTTTGTGTGTATTTATTTGTGTGTCCCAGGGCCCCTTCAGAAGTTCTTGTCCATTGTAATGCGCATGTGTGCGGCACCGAGGCGAGAGCCTCATGTTGAAAACGGCCCGCACCCATTCTGCGAAACTCTGGCATGTTTTAAAACGAGTATGCGCGGCGCTATAAGGCGAGAGCCGCATTTTGAACACGACCCGCCCTCCATCGGTAAAGCTCTTGCAAATGTTTTGTTCGAATGCGCGCGGCGTTAAGGCGAGAGCCACATTTTGAAAATCACCCGCCTTCCATCCGTGAAACTGTTGCAATCGAGAATGGTGAGGAAGTCTCAGGCAAAACGCCTGGTCCGCCCTTTCGACCGGCCTCGGGGTGGACAAGGAGGAGTTATTTATTCTCGAGCTTACGCCGCACCGTCGACCCCTTGGGGGTGTAGTAGATGCCTGCCAGAAGGACGATTCTCACATGGCCTTGGGCACACCCCGCCGCCGTGCCTGGGTTGCGGGTTTGACGCTGTTCGGATGGTTGATGGGGTTGCGTGGGAGGCGCGTCGGGAGCGTCATGGAGGCAGTTTTTGAAACTGTTGGGGGCCTCCTGGCGGGGTCTGGGGGGCTTTTCGGGGGCCCGTTTGGGGCTATCTTGGGGCCTCTTGGAAGCTTTTTGGGGGACTCTTGGGGCATCTTGGGGACGGGAGCTCGAAATGTCCGTTCGGGCTCCCCTTCTAGGCCTCCTCTTGGGGCCGTCCTCGGGGCCTCCTCGGCTGTCTTGGAGGCTTCTGGGGCCGTCTTGGGGCCCTCGTGTGCTGTCTTGGAGCCCCCTTGGGGGCCTCCTGGCCCGTCTTTGGTCGATCTTGAAGGCCGCTTCAACTTGGGTGGGCCTCGTGAGAGCTCAAGAGGCAAATGTGCTAAACATATAGGTTGTCCTCAGTGAGTGGGACGATTTTTGCTCCTTGAAGGCCTCTTGGAACGCCCTGTGGCGCCTTCTTGAAACGTCTCGGGGGCCTCTGGGGCCGTCTGGGGCCAATCTTGGGCGTCTTGGCGCGGTCTTTCGGCGACTCGTGCCCCTTTTGGATAGTCTGGGGGCCCTCTTCGGGCTCTTGGCTCGTTTTGGGGCCCCTTGTCCCCCATGACGCGTTCGGGCGGTCCCCAGGGGGACACCCCACATTCAAATCGACCGGACCGGGGTCCAGGGGGAGGGGTTTGGGGGAGGGGGAAGCATCTCACACGCCGATGAACCCCAAGGGGTCGGCGGATAAGGAAGAGGGATGGAGGAGAGGAGGAGAAGAGGAGAAGAGCAGAGGAGTAGAGGAGTAGGAGGAGGAAGAGGAGGAGGAGGAGGAGGAGGAAGCGGAGGAGGAGGAGGAGGAGAAGGAGGAGGAGGTGGCCCTGGCCATATGCTGCGCAAGTCGCAGCCGTAGAGGCAGATTGCAGCCGTGGAGGGCTGGAGGCCCCCAGTTCGCCCCCTGCGAGGCCCGGTGAGCGGAGATCGGAGTGGAACCACGGCATGCACATACCAGGGGCGGCAAAGAGGGGGGTGATGACTAGGGGGGGGTGGATATCATGGCGGGGGCCATGATATTTCCCCAGATTTCATGGCGCCTCTTCTTGTTTCATTACGTCCCTGGCCCCCCTGCCGGGCCGCGCACATGCCGCCGGTCATGATTTGCCCCCCCCCCCCCCCTCTTGGACACCCCCCTCTTGGCCTCTCCCGAACATACAATTGTCGGAGCTCTTTTTGAATCGGTGCCGGGCGCCCCTGGCGACGCCTCCGGCGCCGGCCCGGGCGCGCCCCGCGCGTCGAGGGGTTGGGCCCGTCCAGCGCCGATGCCAGAAGTCCGCGGGAGCTCCGAAGGGGTGATCATTTTGCAGTTTCGTCTTCCTCCTATCTAGGCCTCATAGATGGGGTCCGAGTAGATGGGGTCGGAGGACAGCGCCGCATCGCCGATGCATCGGCGATGCGGCTCGATGCGGAGCCCGATTTTCGCCATGCCGACGGCGCCGATGCATCGCCGACGTCGCCGATGCATCGCCGATGCATCGCCGATGCATCGCCGATGCATCGTCGATGCATTGGCGATGCTGCGCGATCCTCCGACCCCATCTACTCGGACCCCATCTAGGAGGCCTCTATCCTAAGGCCCCACTGGGACCGTTTGCAGGAGTCGCTCCCAACCGCCACGGCGCACTTCTCATACGCTTCGTGGGCCCACGAGGAGCTGCACCGCATGCCCCACAAGGCGATGCTTGCATTGCATGCGTCTCCCCCGGCCTCTTTCGGCACACCCTTCCCGCGCTTCGTGGCCCCCATCCGCATGGCCCCTACCCCCCATCCTTCCCACGGCGCGTTACCTACGACTTGGCATCGCTCGGACGTGTGCATTTTTCTTTCGGCGAGGACCATCGAGGAGCATCCTTGATCATTTCGCGAAAAAGCCACGCACGAAACCGAACAAAAACACAGGAAATGGACGTCCCAGCGATGGCCAGACGAGGAGATGATCGCTTGCGTCCTTCGCCAGGCGAGTTTCCGCCTCTGGGTTCGGGGCACGTCGGGAGGGGCCCGGGGAGCGTCTGCCGGCGCCCGACGAAGGGCCTGCTCCAGCACATCCAGGAGAGCACCGCCGACGCCGCGCGCGAGCGGGCGCAGCCGGCGCGGAAGGCCCGACGGCGACGACGACGACGACGACGGCGACGACGGCGACGACGACGACGACGGCGACGACGACGACGACGACGACGACGACGACGGCGACGACGACGACGACGACGACGGCGACGACGACGGCGATGGCGAACGACAAGCGACGACGCCGAAGAGGCCGACGACGACGCCGACGACGACGACGGCCTCGGCGGCGACGACGGCGAGCGACAAACGTCGTCGACGGCTCTGAAGGCTTTGTCTCTGTTGGGCCTCCCAGTGCGCCGCCCGCGGCGCCACGGCCAGAGCGTCGCCTCGACATCTTGGCCAGAGCGTGCCCCTGGACTCAAGCAGTGGCGAAGCGTCCCGGCTCGCCTATGGCCCCACCAAACAATGTTCTAAGAACCTTTTGTGGTTCCCACGATATGTTCTTAGAACATGTTTGGCTGGGACTGTCTTGTTTTATCACATCGGGGATATGTTCCAAGAACATTGTTTTCCTCCTTAGAACATTTCTGGGTTCTAAGAGCATGTCGTGGTAGGGCTATAGGAATGCCAGGACGGTCGGTCCCTGCTCAATGGATACATCATGGCTGGCTCCGCCATTCCAGCACGGGGCAAGCGATTGGGCCGTGCCCAGAAGTGGCGCGCCCCACACACGAGGCGTTCCGAAGAGGACCTTGCCTTCGAGGATCGCAGGAGCTGTCATCTCTGCCGCGGCGGAGGGCGGCGGAAGGTGTCGGGGGCAGGTCGGCGGAAGTAAAGCGAGGCCGCCTTCGCCGGCGGAAGCCGGCGGTAGCTCGGCGGAAGGCTGCGGAAGTAGAACATGCGCCCCCAAGAGAAGAACACGTTTTGTGGGTTCAGGATTTCCGGAGACGCCCATATGCCACCACGCGTGCGCATCACATTCTGAGACACGTCCGGGTACCCTGGCCACGCCAACAAGAAGACCCGGGGCTATGCTGTCTCCCGGCTTCATGGCCTCCTCTTCTTCTCGGGGGCCCCCAAACGGTGCGCACCGTGCGGTGAGTCGGTGGGGATTCGGGGTCACCGCACGGTTTTGGGACTCGGGTCGTGCTCCGAGGACGTCTCGGGCGACAGGGCCCCCCCGGGGTCCCAAGACCGTGTGTTGACGGACCGTGCGGTGAGGTCTTGAGGGATGTTCGAGGTCACCGCACGGTGTGTCACCGCACCGTCTCGGGACTCCAGATCTTCTGTCTGCACGTGCCCTGGCCCCCGTCCTCCCGCGCACATGCCCCGGGCCATGATCTGCGGACCCGCCTCTTGTCAGGAGGGGAAAAAACACACAGACACAATGAATCGTCGATCCCCCAGAAAATATGGGAAAAGATAGGAAGTGGTGGGGAAGACCAGAACCCAGCAAACGATAGGAAGATATAGGGAATCTTACTATTTGTGTGTATTTGTTTGTGTGTCCCAGGGCCCCTTCATCTTGGACGCCCCTCCCCTTTTGGCGCGGCTCGAGGCCCGCGTCGCCACGGCGGGGCGCGGCTCGAAGAACGGGCCGGGGGGGGGGCCCACGGCCGTGAGGGGCTCGTGAGTCGGAGTCTGTCGCCTGTGCCGTGTTGTTACTTGCAGTCGCCGAGTATGTCGTCCATCGCGGTCGGCATTCTATCGTGCTTTGTGCTCGTCGTCCCCATCTTTTGGTTTCGCCCTCCTCTCTGCTGTCCCGCTCCTCGGGCACTTGCAGACACGCGTGTGCACGGACGCGTTCTCACTTCTTTACCATCGCGAATGGGCCCAGCGGCAAAGTGAAGAGATGGGGCAGGGAGAGGAGGAGGAGGAGGAGGACGAGGAGGAGGAGGAGGAGGAGGAGGAGGAGGAGGAGGAGGAGGAGGTGGAGGAGGAGGAGGAGGAGGAGGAGGAGGGGGAGGAGGAGGAGGGAGGAGGAGGAGGAGGAGGAGGAGAGGGGAGGAGGGGAGGCGGCAGCAGCAGTGTCCGGCGCCGCGCAGCCCGGCCGCCGCCGCCCCTCGCCCAGCGCGGCAGCACGGCGAAGCCGCGCGACGATCATTCGCCGGGCGCGCAGGGGCGCACCGCCAGGCGGTCCCGCAGGGCCGCCTGCCGCTCAGATTCGGCGCCCCCGGCCCGCGGTGGCGCAGCCAGCAGCAGACTGGCTGCCCGGCAGCGCGGCCGCCGGCCCAGCGCACGGCCGGCTGGCCAGGCGCGCCCAGCACGGGACCCAGCAGCGCAGCTGCAGCGGACGCAAACAAAACCAAGCCGGGCCCCTGCGCGGCGAGGAGGAGGAGGAGGAGGAGGAGGAGGAGGAGGAGGAGGAGGAGGAGGAGGAGGAGCCACGCACAACGCGCGCGCTGCCTCCGCCGCACCCTGCCGCTGCCCAGCGCCGGCTGGTCTTTGCCGCAGCAGCCGCAGCGGCCGCTGCCGCGGCTTCGGTCCACCTCCCGGAGTGCGCGCCTCGTGGGGGGCCAACCCAGCGGCGCCAGACGCGGGGGCCGCCAGGGCCAGTGCTCCTGTGGTTCGCCTTGAGAGCCGCCAGCTTGACCGCGGCGAGCATCTCCTGGAGGACCACGAGCGCGTGCAGCTGGACCGCGCGCCCCTGCAGGACGCCGGCAGGTGGCAACCGCGCGGCGGCGGCCTGCCCCGCGAGCCTGTCAACGGCGGCGTTTCCTCCGAGATCCCGCGCGTCGTGGCTTCGTGGCACGGACGCGTTCGCACGGATGCGCGCTCGCGCGCGCGCGTGGGCGTGACGTACGGGGTTGTCGGGACCAAGGGGTGCATGCTGCATCGCCTCAACCCGCGTGTGTCTCCATGTCGAGTGGCGACGTGGAGTCTCGCTCGTCGCAGCTCGGCCGCTTCATGGCGCCCAATGTGCCTGCAGCTTTCTATATGCCAGCTCCTCTGGAGTTGCACGTGAACGTCTCCTCCGTCCGAATTTGTTCCGAATCGGTCCCTGGACCGCCTCCAGGGTCCACCCTGGTTCGTTTTTCACTAGCTGCTTTCGGCCGTGGCGAAAAGCTCTTCACCTCCCCCCCCCGAAGATCAAATGAGGAGGGGGATAGGCGGACGAGGAGAGAGGAGGAGAGGAGAGGAGAGAGGGGAGGACATAGGAGGATGAGGAGGAGGAGGAGGAAGCAGAGGAGGAAGAGGGAGCGAGAAGGAGGAAGAGGAGGAGAGAGAGAGAGAGGGAGGAGGATGAGGATGAGGACCTGTGTGAACCCAAGATGCATCAACGATGTTGCAAGACTCCTTCTCTCCCTCGAAATTCCCTCTTCAGATGCCCCTACAAGAATTAGTTTTCATTGCAGGAAGAGCTTCGTCGGAACATAACCGTCTGAGAGCCCTCAATCGTGCCAAAGCGCCGTTCCTGAGATATCAACGCCGCGAGTCAACGTTACTTTTGCGCCCTGGCAGGCGTGAGCCGCCGCAGAGCACTATTTCTGGGAGTCCGAAACCGCACCGTGACCGGTGCGTCCTGACCATCCTAAATCGTGCCAGGACGAAGTTCCTGGGCCTTCATCCATACGGGCTCTTCCAGCTATTGCGAACTTCTACAGCGAATGCGCGCGGCGCTAAGGCGAGCGCCATTTTTGAGAATGAACTGCCCCCCATCCTTGAAGCTGATACGAACGTTTAAAGACGGATGTGCGCGGCTCTAATGTGAGAGTCATTTTTTGAACAGGAGCCGCCCTCCCTCCTTGAAGCTGTTGTAAGCTTTTATGGCGAATGCGTGCGGCGCTCAGGCGACGGCTACATTTTGAAAACAAGTCGCCCTCCATCCGTGAAGCGGTTGCAAACTTCAAGTTCCAGGATCATAAGTGGTGAGGACGTCTTAAGCGAAACGCCTGGCCCGCCCTAACAACATGTTTGGGGGGGCGATAAGGAGGAGTTCCTTATAAGGAGAAGTGGATGAGGGAGGATGAGGAGGTGAGGGAGGAGCAGGAAGAGCGGGAGCAGGATGAGGACGCGGAGGAGGAGGAGGAGGAGGAGGAGGAGGAGGAGGAGGAGGAGGCTCCTCCTTCACGAGAGGTGCCGCGCCTCAATTCCTCGACGCTGGAGAAGCTCGTCGAGGATTTCGCGGAGGACTGCATCCCCGTAGCCCGCCGCCGCCGAATATACCTTTGCCGCCGCAGCGGCTGCGGTGGTGGTGTTGGTGGTGGTTGCTGGTCTTCTTCGTCGTCGTCGTCGTTGTCGCCGCAATCGCCGTCGTCGTCGCTGCCGTCGCAGTCGTCGCCGTCGGCATCGTCGTCGTCGTCGCCGTCGTCGCTGTCGTCGCCGTCGTCGTGTCGTCGACCGCCGTCGTCGTCGCCGTCGCCTTTGTCGTCTTGGTCGTCCTGCTATCGATGATTCATTTCCAGAGATTTCGTTGTCGGATCCGTTCCGGGACCTCTCGCCTCGACGCGGGCGAACTGTTCTCTGAACATGGCGCTCACGCTCGGGCGCGGGCTTGGTTCTAAATCCCGGTTGTTGAAGGCCCAGCTGCGACGACAACGGCCTCCGCTCGATACCCCTTCACACATTACTTCGAGGCGCCCTGGAGGCCCCCAAACTCAGGAACGGCGCTTTCTACCTTAGGTTGGTGGAGCCCCAGCTACGACGACAACGGCCTCCGCTCGATACATCTTCGCAATTTGCGACAGGACGCCCTGGCCAGAGAGGCCCCCCAATTCTGGAACGGCGCTCTGTCCCGTGACGTCCTCGCAATCCCCTGGGGCTGGTGAAGGCTAGGGTGCGACGACAACGGCTCCAGTCCGATACGTCCGCGCAATCTTATCCCAGGACGCCCTGGCCAGAGATGCCCCCCAGTGCAGCAACCGCGTTCAGGCTCGAGACATTTCTGCAATCCGTCACGGTCAGTGAGGCCCAGTTACGCCGACAACGTCTCCCGCTCGATGTTTTCTCGCAATGTCTCCAGGACGTCTGCCCAGAGGAACCCCCCAATTCGGGAACGGCGCTCTGGCTGGTGACGTCCTCGCAATCCCCATGGGGCTGGTGAAGGCCTGGGTGCGACGACAACGGCTCCCGCTCGATACCTCCTCGCAATCTTATCCCAGGACGCCGTGGCCAGATAGGCCCTCCAATTCAGGAACGGAGCTCTGGTTCGCGATTTCTTCGCAATCCACGCAGGTTGGTTGAGGCCCAGTTGCGACGACAACGGCTCCCGCTCGATACCTCCTCGCAATTTCCTCGGGAGCATCCTGGTCATACTCATTACCGCACTCATGAGTGGCGCCCCGCCCAAGACTTCCTCGCAGTTTCCTGCAATTTTGTGAGAGCCCACTCAAGACGACATCGGCTCCCGCTCGATACTTCTTCACATACTGCTCTGAGACGCCCTACTCTGGGTTTCGTAATAAGCATGGGGGGGTACCCTCCGACGGGGGTCAACCTCGCCTCGTCGTCGCGCTGCGACGGAGGTCGGAGCGCCTTCGGCGCGCGGTGGCTGCCCGCGACGGGGGTCGATGTGGGGCTGTCGGCGGGGTTGACGCCCCCCCGACGCTTAGTAAGAAACTCGGAGTAGGGATCCCAAAACTCCAGAACGGCGCTCTCTACCAACTTCTCTTTGAAATTCACGTAATTTGGCAAGTTGCCCGCAGGCGTGTTACCTCGCAGAACGGCCCTGGCGGCGCGGTGCACTGCAGAATGCCTCCCCCTGGTGCGGGTATGGAGAGAAGGCCCCCCAAGAGAGGGGGTTTCTCCATAGACCCAGCGAGCGGGCGCAAGGGAGATGGAGAAACAAGTAAAGGTCACATGCTCGCACGATGATCGTCTTTCTCTTTGTCTTTGAACGTGTCGTCGGCGTCGGCGTCGTCGTCGGCGTCGGCGTCGGCGTCGTCGTCGTCGTCGGCGTCGGCGTCGTCGTCGGCGTCGGCGTCGTCGTCGGCGTCGGCGTCGTCGCCGGCGTCGTCGGCGTCGTCGCCGTCGTCGTCGGCGTCGGCGTCGTCGTCGAGGACTACTTCTCCGCGCCCCGGTGCGGCTCCCTGTCCGGCGGCGGCCCCGCCGTGGAGGCCAAGATCCTGTGCGACGGCGCGCCCGGGGGGGCGGTCGGCACTCGCGGAGGGGGGCCCCGCGGTCCGATCGCCGAGTAGGGGGCCACGTGCGAGCCCTCCCGGGGAAGGGTCGGGACTCGCGGAGGGTCTGCACGAACGAGATGGGCACCGAAAGAATGGGTACTATGCCCAACAGCAGTTCCTGTTCATTCTGAACAGGAGTCGCTGTCCACGCCGCCGCGGCCTGTGTCCATTGTACCCATTTTTTCGGTGCCCATTTCGGGCGTCCAAAGAGTAGGGGGCCACGTGCGAGCCCTCCCGGGGAAGGGTCGGGGCTCGCGGAGGGGACCGTGCGGTCCGATCGCCGAGTAGGGGGCCACGTGAGGCACGCCTCCCGGGGAAGGGTCGGGACTCCTCCCGGGGCCCGCGGGTGGGAACGAGGACGCATCCTCGGACACCTGGGGGGGGAGGAGGCCGAGAGGGAAGGCTCGAGGGCCGAGGGGCAAGGCTCTCGAGCGTCTGTCGCTCCTCTTGTAAGTGGCCACGTGCGAACCCTATACCCACGATTTCAGAGGGGGAGGGTGGGGTTCACTCCATTCGGGAGCTCCCGAGCGTCGTGAACCCCACCCTCCCCCTCAGAAATCGTGGGGCGTAGGGGTAGGCTTCGCATGTGGCCCCCTATCTTGGCTGCGGTCTGCTTGGGGCAAGGTTTTCGTGCGGCTGTCGCCCTTTCTCGGCTGCGGTGCGGCCTGCTTCCGGGGGCTCGCGAAGAGGCCTCCGCGGGGCCCCCAGGAGGGACCTCTGGGAAGCGTCGGCCGGGGCCCCGGACGAGGACAGCTCCGCTCCAGAGCGTGGCACGCTCTCGGAGCGTGCCGGCGCGCTCCGAGAGGGCCGCGGCGCCCGATGCATCCTCCAGAGTCTAGAGCCGCCAGATCTCAGAGCTTCTCGGTTTACGCCCTCACCCGAATTTGTCCTCGTCCTGGCTTCGTCTTACTTTTGTTGGCTTCCTCGCCGAGGCCGTTTTGGACGCCCTGACACCTCGCGAAACCCTTTGTCCACGTCCAGGGGAGGGGGTAGGGGGAGGGGCAAACCCTTCCCCGAAGGGGAAGAAGGAGGGGTGGAAGAGGAAACTCTCTAAACCGCCGACGCCCAGAGCGCTGGTGGTATTTGTCCTCGCCCTGGCTTCGTCTTACTTCGAGAGAGGCTCTGGAGGGCACGCCCGTGCATGTCGAGATGCCCGCGTCCCTCCGGGAGCCGCCACCCCTCCGGCCCCTCGGGCGGACGGCCAGGGGTGCGAGAGGCAACAAACGTGGGAGGCTCGAGGCCGGCAGGAAGGCGGCCCCGAAGGCAGAGCTCATGTCGACTCCTCCGATGCGGTTCGATTCGAGCCGATTTCGATGGCCTCCGACCCCGATTCGGTTCGGCTTCGGACTCCGATCTGGACTCCGACTTCTTCACGGAGGCCTGCTGGCCTGCCGATCTCCGCCTGTTCGGCCTCTCTGGACTTGGCGGCCGAGTTCCGCCGAGCCGCTTCATGTCGGTCGCCGATCCGACTCATCGATTCCATTCTGGGCTCTCGTGTGAATTGGCCCCCTCAGCGGCCCCGAAGCTGCCGCCGCGGCCCCAGAAGGTGCACACAAGCGGGCGCACGCCTCCCGACCCCACGCTGGCTGCGCCCCCGTGAACGACCACCAGATGCCTCCTCTCGGCGTCTCCCAACATACTTATTATCCTGCACATGGTGTCTAGAGCTCCGACCACTTTATTCCGCGTCGCACCCCCCCCCCCCGCGTCCCCAGCGCCAGAGTGGGACCTGCGTGCCGTGGCTCTCTGCCCCGAGCCCCCCCGCGTCCTCAGCGCCCCAGCGGGAGCCCCGCCCACTGCCCCCTCCGCCACGAACGCTTTATTCCGCATCGCGACGCACACCACCTCCCCCCCTCCCCCCCCGTCCCCAGCGCCCCAGTTGGACCCCCGCCCCGTGGCCCTCTGCCCCAAGCGCCGCCCAGTGCCCCCTCCGCTCCGACCATCTTGTTCCGCGTCGCGACGCGCACCACCTTCCCCCCTTCTCTCCGCGCCCCCAGCGCTCCAGTGGGACCTCCGCCCCGTGCCCCCTCCGCTCCGAGCACTTTATTCCGCGTCGCGACGCACAGCACCTCCCCCCCCGCCCTCCCCACCTGGGATTTGGGCTCCGTTGCTGGGCCCCGAGGGGCGATGTTTTGCCCCCTCTTCCCCTCCTCCTCCTCCTCCTCCTCCTCCTCCTCCTCCTCCTCCTCCTCCTCCTCCTCCTCCTCCTCCTCCTTCCTCCTCCTCCTCCTCCTCCTCCTCCTCCTCCTCCTCCTCCTCTTCCCCCCTCCTCCTCCTCTTCCCCCTCCTCTTCCTCCACCTCCTCCTCCTCCTCCCATCCTCTTCTTCCCCCTCCTCCTCCTCCTCCTCCTCCTCCTCCTCCTCCTCCACCTCCTCCTCCTCCTCCTCCTCCTCCTCCTCCTCCTCCTCCTCCTCCCCCTTCCTTTTCGTGCAAGAGCCATGGCGCACGTGCCACTTGTACTATATGTGTGCGTCGCCCCCCTCTGGGGCGACGCGCACACCGAGAAATCTTATAGCATGTGCGTCGTGGCGGGTGCCGAGTATGCGCCACACCGCTGGGGCAACGATACACTACAAGATAGGTATACTGAGTTACTGTATGTTCGGGTCGGACGCGCGCCTCCCAGGAGGACATACAGTACCAGTGTGTCCCTGTGCGTCCCGCCCTCCCTCCCTCCTTCGTCCTTGTCCCTGCCCCAATCCTCGGCGCCGATGGCTCGCCAGCGTGCTCTTGCTCTTCTAAGGGGCTGCGGCCCCACTGCCGTCCTGCGGAGCAGGCGCTCCCCCGCACGCGCGCGGAGCAGTTTCGGCGCCCGTCCCTTCCCGCCCTTCCCTCGCCCTTGCTCGCAAGAAGGATGAACGGCATAAAGTCGGGGGCGGAAAAGAGGGGGGTGATGACTAGGGGGGGGGGATATCATGGCGGGGGCCATGATATTTCCCCAGATTTTATGGCGCCTCTTCTCATTTCATTACGTCCCTGGCCCTCCCTGGCCCCCCCAGGGGCCGCGCACATGCCGCCGGCCATGATTTGCGCCCCCCCCTCTTGGACGCCCCCCTCTGGGCCGCTCCCGAAAAGTCCGAGGCGGGAATTCATACATGACCACCGCCTGGGAGTCAGTTTTCGGAGCCTCGGCAGGCAGTGGATGTGGACCTATTCGGGCCCCCGGGGGCCGAACTGTATCCATGTCCACCGCCCGCCGGGGCACCAGGACGTCGGTGCCCAGGCGGTGGATGTGGATACATCCCCACTTCGCGTGAAAGGTGAACTCGCGGAGCTCCGCGCGGGGATGTCTTGGGCCGGCGCCGGAGCCACCCGGTGGAGCCTCTGCAGCGCGAGGCGCCCAGCCAAGAGGTCTGCGCGGCACACTGTTTCTTCGTTCCGCGGCTCCTGCCTCGCCCCCCTCCCTCTTCGCTTCTGGCTCGCTCCCTCCTCTCCTCGCCTCCCCGTTGGAGAGGGGGAGAGGGGGAGAGGGGGAGGAGGAGGAGGAGGAGGAGGAGGAGGAGGAGGAGGAGGAGGAGGAGGAGGAGGAGGAGGAGGAGGAGGAGGAGGGGGCGGAGGAGAGGCAGCTCCGGTGCGGCCGCGCGCGCCGTGGAGCCAGACCACGGCGCGCCGCGCAACAGCGCTACGGTTTGAGCTCTCGACCCCGTGACTGCTGGATCGATCCGCTAGGGCCAGGGGGCTCGACATCGAAGAAGAAGAAGAAGAAGAAGAAGCAGTGGCATAAACATCAACCTTAGAAGCTCCGATCGGATCTCTGGGATCGGCGCTGGGCTCTCCTGGCGGCACCTCCGACGCCTCTGGCGCCGCCTCTGGCGCGCTCCGCGCGCCAGGGAGGGGGTCCAGCGCTGATCCAGGAAACCCACGCGGACCTCCAGCAGTTTGATGTGTCTGCAGTTTGTTGCTCCTCTGCGAGGGCGTCCGCGGCACGCGGCGCCTGTGCTCCGCTGTGCCGATGCGACGTCTGGGCGCCAGGCTTGCTTGCTTGCTTGCTTGCTTGCGTGCTTGCTGGCTGGCTGGCTGGCTTGCTTGCTGCGGAGCGGGCCGAGACGCCCGCTCAGACATCGGACGGCGCGCCTTTGTTCTGCCTCCGGCCGCGGCCTGGGAGGCCCCTGGCGACTCCTTCCTGAACGGGCCGAGACGCCCGCGCCGATCGTCTTCGGGGGCCCACTTTTGATTCTCCTGGGCTTCGAGCGTGTGCTCTCAAAAGGCCTGGGCGATGCCGGCCGCGATCGGCCCTCCCCCTTCTCCCCCCCCCCCGCGCCCCCGGATCAAATCGCTCCTTGCGAGGATGTCCTGCGAACTCTGCACGGATTTCCCGAGACTTCCGGCGGCTCCCCGCCGTGGTGTGGTCGGGGGGGACGAACTCCCCCCCCCCCTCCCCCGATCCCGCCCGTTCTCGCGAACCACACAGAAACGGGGGAGCGTAAGACCCGGGTTTGCCAGGACTCGGGTCCGCCATCGTTTTTTGACGACCGCGCCTCGGATCTTGACGAGGAGGAGTTTCGTGGGATGTCTGCAGCGGGAGGCCTCGTCAAAATGCAGGCTCGGCCTCGTCATTTTTTTGACGACCTCGTCGGGGATTTCCGAGTCCCCTGTACCCAGGTCTTACGTCCCCCTGACAGAAACGCGTTCTTTCGGGGGCGGAAAAGAGGGGGGTGATGACTAGGGGGGGGTGGATCTCATGGCGGGGGCCATGACATTTCCCCAGATCTCATGGCGCCCCTTCCTATTTCATGACGTCCCTGGCCCCCCCGCTGGGCCGCGCACATGCCGCCGGTCATGATTTGCACCCCCCGTCTTGGACACCCCCCTCTTGGCCGCTCCCGATTCTTGGAAATCCGCTCCCGGATGTTGAGGTCGGGGGAAGAGGCCGCCGTGAAACATGCAACGACGCCCTCGGAGATCTGGGCGTCCTCCCTTGCTCCCCGTCGTCCAGCTGGCGCGGCATCGGCGATGCGGCCCGATCCGGCGCTCAGTGCTCCACGCCGACGTTGCCGACGCACATCGCCGATGC